AAAAATATCATTGCACAGTCGTATAACAATTGTAAACAAATCATAGAAGTATGAACACCTGTTCACACGTGCTTCATTATGAAAATTTAAATGAAATTTCGAAACAGGAACAATAAGTATTAGAATAATGCGAGTAATATATTTTAAAATTAGTACACCTAATTATGATTTTACCTATTATATTAATAGCTAACTAATTATTATTCACATGATTAAAAGCATGTATGATGTTCCGTCAAGTGCAGTGCCAATTGATAACAAGTGTGGCAAATTCTTTCGTACAAAGTTTGAGGTAAGGAAGGCGGACTGAATCTTATCTCTCGTTTGCAAAGTTTCTTGTTGGTGCTCCAGCCACTGTGAAGTTAACACCGACAAGAGTAGGCGAAATCTAAGTAAACTTCGTTCGATTTGCTGATGATACCGTAGTGCTAGTATACTACTTGGAATTTGAGACATCATTGTTCCTAACTCTTAAATTATGGTGTTCTGATTTGGGTCTCTGGATTACCTTAGAAAAGACTCATTGAATGGAAATTAATGAAATACGCACCAAAGTTTGTCTGACCCTTGACAAATAAGTTTTCAAAAAAGTACCAGAATATGTCTATCTTGCAGTACATTGGTGAGTGTCAAAGGAAGTTACGAGGAACTACGTATTGGAATTATAAGCGAATAGGAAATTATTTAAGCTATAGAAGGACAGAGATGTGCAACAGCACAAAGTTACTCACATATGACTTTCATTTTAAACATCTTGCTCTATGGTTAACAGTCCTGACAGCAGAAAACTGAAAATAATAGAAATAGATATTTTAACAGTAATACCGGGAATAAAGTGGTAGGATCTGGTGCCAAATGCTTTTGCAGCACATTAAAATAATCAGTTAAAGTGATAGTGACTGTGGACAATGCATTCAGGAGATTTTGAGATCACTAATCGCCTTAAGGAGCGAATATTGAACGCAAGGCATGATTGAATGCGGCCGCCAGGAAGACCTTCAGCAAAATAAGATCTCGTCGGAAATAACGTGATATCGAAAGTATTTGAGCACATTTATTCGATCCAGATAAAATGCCTGTATTGCACCTGGCATCGTTTCCGATGTAACTGGATAAGGAGAAGAGTTGTGATTTGTTTACACTGATTACCATACAACTGGCACTTTGCTGTCATTATGCGATGTTTCATTTTATTCTGTCTTTTTTAATATACATGTAACTAGCATTTAGAAGTTTGTTCTGTTGCAAAAAAATGACGTAGGGCACTAACAGGAAAACTGCTCATTCACATAGCGTTGAAAAGCTGTGCAAACTTGAAGGATATGAGCACACAAGTCGTCACTCACTGGAAATAATCTCTTGCTGGCCGAAAAGCACTTAACATCGAATTGAGGTTACTGCCCAGACAGCCGTGGGACTTGCATATGCCGGCCAGTGTACGACAAATGTATTCTGACTTCACTTGGTTCCACGTCGTGATTTATGAACGCAAAACATTGACAAATGGCGCTTGATGATAATAATCTATAGATAGTAATAAATCCTCTTATGCAGACTTCGAACCTTGCAGAAATCATTTACTCCGATCTGCGGACTTCTGGTGTGGAAGCGGAGGCACCTCAACTTTACAACATGGAGAAACAACGTAGTGGCAAATCTGCTTTCAGCGAGTAATATTTCCTTACGCGATACAGTAACCTGCGTCTTGTGGCAAGTGTTACAAAACTGAACACAGCGGACATCACAAACTGAAGACTTTCCGCTAACGTGATGACTTCAAATACACTTGGCCTAATTGAAGAGGATTGGTGTTTTTCTCCCAAGATTTTTTCCACCGCTGGAAATCGAGAAATTCAAGAAAGCGTCCAATCATGCGTACGAAATGGATGAAGATGGGAGGTGTCTCTTTCTAGATATCACAAAATATGTCTCTAAATATACGAGGAAGGATCGTCTTCAAAAGACTACTCATACAACACGATATATTGGTTGCGGGTACCGTGTCCAGCAACTATCAAAGCTGGATTTTCATAACCTTCTACAGAGGACATCACAAACCAGAGAAGTTCTGCTTATAGAAACGACTCAGAGCGACGATGGTCTCAACAACAAGAACCACTAAAAGCGGTTCTGTCTTTGTACACCGATATGAAAGAAATCTGAGTGAAGAAACCAATCCAATCCTGAACGGACACAACATGCGCTATGCATTTCTACACAGAAGTTTGGGTATCTCCTGTAGAGGAAAGGAATCAAATGACAGGATGAAGTGATGGAGTCAGATACTGCTTTACATGCATATTTTGGGGAGGTAATATTAAGTTAAAATCACTTGAAGAATTTCTTACAGCAGGAATGATACAATCTATTGAATGAGCGTCTTACCTTCGAAAAATCGGGGTCGTGTTGCAAGCCCGCTGGGAAGACTTGCGTGTGGATTCTCGCACGGTCAGCGGCCAGTTCCAAAGGTTGGTTCAGCTGAAGTGTCATGAACGCTACTTGTGCGACGGTAGAGATGATTGTTGAGCCGCCAGCAGAGCCTATGACCAGCCTGACTTCTCCGTCGGTTGCGTTGTAAACGACCAGAGGACTCGCCGACGACATCGGCCTTTTGCCCGGTCGGATGTAGTTCGCCGGCGACGGAAGAAAGCCAAAGTAGTTCGTCAAGTTTGGCGTTGAAAAATCGTCCATATTGCTGTTGAAGATGATGCCGGTTTTGGTGGACCTGACTTTCGAGCCGAGGCTGAAATTCGATACTTAAGCAACGGTGAAAAGTACATTCAAGTACTGCCTTTACTATAGATTAATCGTTGACGTGAGCGATACGGCGTTTCCGTCAGAGTCGAGCAGTGATATGTGAGTTGTTCCTCGACTGCTGCTGCGCGAGTAGAAGCTTCCGTAGTAATTTGGCTCATGGCTGCGGTCGGTTATTTTTCCTCGAAGCTTTCTGCCAAATTTGCTGCTAATTATCCTTCTTGCTATGAGGGCAGATGTACTGCTGAAGCTTGTGTCGCTCAGAATAGCACGTTTGGAGTACGCAAACTTCGTCGCTTCCGCCATAATGTGATACACCATGGAGGCGTTGAAATGCAGATCTTCGGGGGTCATTTCATATCCTGAAAAGTTAATGTTTTCAAACTGCAGTACATGTATTCATCGTAATGAGGTAGCGTCACTTCAACTTCAGGATCTGTCAATCAATCAGTCAAATTTTTAGCTTGAACAACGTAGTCACTGATTTATTTTGTTCAGTGGAGATGTCCCATTACGAACTGAATTTTCGCCGTTGAAAGTAGATGAAACCATACTGATTGAAACTTAAATCAAAATTTTGCGCTGTCATTCCCGGAAGGTGATTTTGAGGAAAGGAAGATTGGCGGTCATGTGAGAGGCGAAAAGAACCTTAAATCAACACTAGGTTCAGCTATGCTTTCCTGCCATTTTCGCGAATCTTCTGTGTAGTAGAGGTTGATGTCACTTGAAGGGACTATAGTGAGAATCGGTTTGTCAGCAGCAAATGAGCCTTTTGAATTGACTCAGACTTTGCGCGTATGACTAATCAATTCTTATGCTCATTGGCATCTCTAATGTACATTTAACTGTTTTACCTTCTTCTCGTTGCAAGAAACAATCCAATCAGGAATCACTGGACTATCGTTGCCAAGATGTCATGTCCTACAATCCGTCAGCATGACTATCGCTAATCACTGCTTGTAAGAACCTCGTTCATATTCATATATTTGCCATGTGCTGGCAAATGTTTTACAACATAATTATAAAAGAACGGTAAAGAGTACGAACATAATCTGTAAATGGCACTAGGCGGAAGAGAATAATTTAGAACCTAGAATAGAACTTGAAAAAAAAGATCGATTTATTGAAATCAGTGAACTCTTTAAGCCCACCATCATCTACGACTATCTCATAATATATACTATCTCATATTCCATTTTTGTCCAAAGCTCAGACCGACTCATTGTTTAGCGACGGTGCTCCATCTGTTTCTCGTGCACTAATTCTTCACAACAAATGCATTTTGGCGCTGTTTGCATAAATACAAAGGAAGAGGAGCATCGTCCTAGAATCTGATTGGCTGTTTTTGCGCAAGCACAGGAAGGAAGCATTTGTTCCAAAAATTTGGTTGTTTGTCCAGATTCATCTAGTTCATAACATTAGGTTTCCTTGTATAAGACAGAGTAATTTTTTCTCCAAAGTGAGTCTGTATGAGTACCATCGTATTATCGAAATAAACTTCGTGCAATAGAACCATTCAGGAATCACACCGAACCATTTACTTCATTTGGCATGCAGTGATCTTGCATATGAATTCAGTAGTTAGCAACTCCCTAGCCTTAAGGATACAAATGAATAATGCAGATGGCCAAACTCATACTGGAGGGTGAAAGTTCTTCATTCAAAAATGACAGGAC